ACATAGGTGCAGCTACAACCGCAGCTATGACGGCTCCTGTGTCGACCCTCAAAGCCATGGGCCAATAGTCGTCAGCTGCGTACAAACGCTATCTGCGCCCCGAGGCTCGGGACATTCTCGAAGCCCAAAAACTATGAGTACCCATAACTTTGGCACATAGATGCTAATTAAATGAAATATATAAACAACCTGCAGATAAATATCCATGCTTGGGCAACGGGTCTCTCTAACCCGTCTTTCTTTCAGCAGCGCTCACCTCCCCTGCTAGCTCCTAGACTGCACGGCATGGTTGTTTTGGGGGGTTCTGTTCATTGCTGCTCTACCCCTGCCTCCTCTGCCTTCATGATGGCACATGGAGGGCGGGAAGGTGCTCTTCCTGCCGCTGGCCTTTCACCCCTGCCAACGTGGAGAACGGGGGCCCTGAACAGAACCTCGCGTGCGCTCCCTGCTATCGCCTTTCATGATGGCTCGTGAAAGGCAGGAAGGGGCTCTTCCTGCCTTGGGCTTCCACACAAGCGCGTGGAAGGGCAGGGACCTGAAACAGAATCATGCCGCCAAATCTAACTTGCACAATAAAGCTAAAAATTTGGACAAAGTGTACCTGACTGAAATGAAGCATAGCGTTAGTTCTGTCAGGACACAACGTCAAGCGCTGATCCACAGCCAATGGCTAGTAGCCACCTCAACCAGATGATAATCAGCTGATTCACACCTAGATCCTATTGGTTCTTTGCCTATAGAGTGCCTTATTTAAAACTGCACTAACCCAGCCTCTTCCTCTGCTCTGACAGCAAACCAGCAACACACTGCCACACCAGCTCCACCCTCGTGCCAGCTAATTGCTCCACTGTCCTTGAAGCGCTCCTGTTCCAGGGGGGTTTGTTCATTGCTGCTCTACCCCCGCCACCTCCGCCTTCATGATGGCTCGAGGAGGGCGAGTTTAACAATTTCCACAACCTCAAGTTCAAAAAGAACACAAACTCAAGTTCAAACACGCCACGAACTCAAGTTCAACAAACAAACAAACTCAAACTCAAGTTCAAAAACACCATAAACTCAAGTTCAACCAACACCCAATTCTCAAGTTCAACAATTTCCACCGACTCAAGTTCAAACAAGACACAAACTGAAGTTCAATGAACACCACATACATAAGTTCAACAAATGTCAAAGTTTTAAGTTCAACCAACACCCAAATCTAAAGTTTAACAATTGCCGAAGCCTCAAGTAAGAAAAACAACAAAAATTCAAGTTAAAACACGCCACAAATTTAAGCTCAACACCGCCACAAACTCAAGTTAAAAAGCACCACAAACCAAAGTTCAAACACGACACAAACTCAAGTTCAAGCAAATCCCAAATCTCAAGTTTGACAATTGCCACAACCTCAAGTTCAAAAACAACAGAAACTCAAGTCAAAACACGCCACAAACTCAAGTTAAACAAACACACAAACTCAAGTCAGAACACGCCACAAACTCAAGTTAAACAAACACACAAACTCAAGTTCAAAAACACCACAAACTCAAGTTCAACCAACACCCAAATCTAAAGTTTAACAATTGCCGAAGCCTCAAGTAAGAAAAACAACAAAAATTCAGGTTAAAACACGCCACAAACTCAAGCTCAAGACCGCCACAAACTCAAGTTAAAAAGCACCACAAACCAAAGTTCAAACACGACACAAACTCAAGTTCAAGCAAATCCCAAATCTCAAGTTTGACAATTGCCACAACCTCAAGTTCAAAAACAACAGAAACTCAAGTCAAAACACGCCACAAACTCAAGTTAAACAAACACACAAACTCAAGTCAAAACATGCCACAAACTCAAGTTAAACAAACACACAAACTCAAGTTCAAAAACACCACAAACTCAAGTTCAACCAAAACCCAAATCTCAAGTTTAACAATTGCCACAAACTTAAATTCAAAAAACACACAAAAATTCAAACTAAAGTTCAGAGAAAAATACAGACTCAAGTTCAACAATTGACACAAACTCAAGTTCAACAAACACCACAATCTTAAGTTCAAAAAATGCCAAAATTTCAAATTCAACAAATGACCTAAACTCACATTTAACAATTGCCAAAAACTCAAGTTCAACAAACTCAAGTTCAAAAATTGCAACAACCTCAAGTTCAAAAAACACACAAATTCAAGTTCAAAAACACCACAAACTCAAGTTAAATGAACACCACAAAGTCAAGTTCAAAAACACCACAAACTCAAGTTAAATGAACACCACAAAGTCAAGTTCAACAAATGTCAAAGTTTTAAGTTCAACCAACACCCAAATCTAAAGATTAACAATTGCCAAAACCTCAAGTTAAAAAACAACACAAACTCAAGTTCAAACACGCGACAAACTCAAGTTTAACAATTGCCACCAAATAAAGTTCACTAAAAACCAAAGACTCAAGTTCAAAACTCAAGTTCAAAAATTGCAACAAACTCAAGTTCAAACACAACACTCAAGTTCAAACATGACACAAACTCAAGTTCAAACACGATACAAACTCAAGTTCAAACACGACACAAACTCAAGTTCAAACACGGCACAAACTCAAGTTCAAACAACACCCAAATATCAAGTTTAACATTTGCCAAAACCTCAAGTTCAAAAACACCACAAACTCAAGTTCTAAACGACAAAAACTCAAGTTCAACAAACACACGAACTCAAGTTCAACAATTGCCACCAACTAATGTTCAGAGAAAAATACAGACTCAATGTTAACAATTGCCACAAACTCAAGTTCAACAAACACCACAAGCTTAAGTTCAAAAAATGCCAAAATTTCAAATTCAACAAATAACCTATATTAACATTAAAGAATTGCCAAAAACTCAAGTTCAACAAACTCAGGTTCAAAAAACACACAAATTCAAGTTCAAAAACACCACAAACTCAAGTTCAAAACTGCCGAAACTTAATTTCAACCGACACCCAAATCTCAAGTTTAACAAATTGCCACAACCTCATGTTCAAAAACAACAGAAACTCAAATTCAAAAACACCAAAAACTCAAGTTAAAAAAACCCCACACAAATTCAAGATCACAAAACAGCAAAATCTCAAGTTCAAACACGACACAAACTCAGGTTCAACAAACACACAAACTCAAGTTTAACAATTGCCACCAAATAAAGTTCACTAAAAACCAAAGACTCAAGTTAAAAACTCAAGTTCAAAAATTGCAACAAACTCAAGTTCAAACACAACACTCAAGTTCAAACATGACACAAACTCAAGTTCAAACACGACACAAACTCAAGTTCAAACACGACACAAACTCAAGTTCAAACAACACCCAAATATCAAGTTTAACATTTGCCAAAACCTCAAGTTCAAAAACACCACAAACTCAAGTTCTAAACGACAAAAACTCAAGTTCAACAAACACACGAACTCAAGTTCAACAATTGCCACCAACTAATGTTCAGAGAAAAATACAGACTCAATGTTAACAATTGCCACAAACTCAAGTTCAACAAACACCACAAGCTTAAGTTCAAAAAATGCCAAAATTTCAAATTCAACAAATAACCTATATTAACATTAAAGAATTGCCAAAAACTCAAGTTCAACAAACTCAAGTTCAAAAATTGCAACAACCTCAAGTTCAAAAAACACACAAATTCAAGTTCAAAAATACCACAAACACAAGTTCAAAAAAACACAAAAATTCAAGTTCAAAAACACCACAAACTCAAGTTAAATGAACACCACAAAGTCAAGTTCAACAAATGTCAAAGTTTTAAGTTCAACCAACACCCAAATCTAAAGATTAACAATTGCCAAAACCTCAAGTTAAAAAACAACACAAACTCAAGTTCAAACACGCGACAAACTCAAGTTTAACAATTGCCACCAAATAAAGTTCACTAAAAACCAAAGACTCAAGTTCAAAACTCAAGTTCAAAAATTGCAACAAACTCAAGTTCAAACACAACACTCAAGTTCAAACATGACACAAACTCAAGTTCAAACAAGACACAAACTCAAGTTCAAACACGACACAAACTCAAGTTCAAACACGGCACAAACTCAAGTTCAAACAACACCCAAATATCAAGTTTAACATTTGCCAAAACCTCAAGTTCAAAAACACCACAAACTCAAGTTCTAAACGACAAAAACTCAAGTTCAACAAACACACGAACTCAAGTTCAACAATTGCCACCAACTAATGTTCAGAGAAAAATACAGACTCAATGTTAACAATTGCCACAAACTCAAGTTCAACAAACACCACAAGCTTAAGTTCAAAAAATGCCAAAATTTCAAATTCAACAAATAACCTATATTAACATTAAAGAATTGCCAAAAACTCAAGTTCAACAAACTCAGGTTCAAAAAACACACAAATTCAAGTTCAAAAACACCACAAACTCAAGTTCAAAAATGCCGAAACTTAATTTCAACCGACACCCAAATCTCAAGTTTAACAAATTGCCACAACCTCATGTTCAAAAACAACAGAAACTCAAATTCAAAAACACCAAAAACTCAAGTTAAAAAAAACCCACACAAATTCAAGATCACAAAACAGCAAAATCTCAAGTTCAAACACGACACAAACTCAGGTTCAACAAACACACAAACTCAAGTTTAACAATTGCCACCAAATAAAGTTCACTAAAAACCAGACTCAAGTTAAAAACTCAAGTTCAAAAATTGCAACAAACTCAAGTTCAAACACAACACTCAAGTTCAAACATGACACAAACTCAAGTTCAAACACGACACAAACTCAAGTTCAAACACGACAAAAACTCAAGTTCAAACACGACACAAACTCAAGTTCAAACAACACCCAAATCTCAAGTTTAACAAATTGCCACAACCTCATGTTCAAAAACAACAGAAACTCAAATTCAAAAACACCAAAAACTCAAGTTAAAAAAAAAACACAGAAATTCAAGATCACAAAACAGCAAAATCTCAAGTTCAAACACGACACAAACTCAGGTTCAACAAACACACAAACTCAAGTTTAACCAATACCCAATTCTCACGTTTAACAATTTCCACAACCTCAAGTCCAAACACGACACAAACTCAAGTTCAAACACGACACAAACTCAAGTTCAAACACGACACAAACTCAAGTTCAAACAACACCCAAATATCAAGTTTAACATCTGCCAAAACCTCAAGTTCAAAAACACCACAAACTCAAGTTCAAAACGACAAAAACTTAAGTTCAACAAACGCCAAAAACTCAAGTTCAAAAACACCACAAACTCAAGTTCTAAATGACAAAAACTCCAGTTCAACAAACACCACGAACTCAAGTTCAACCAATGCCCACTTCGCAAGTTTAACAATTTCCACAACCTCAAGTTAGAAAAACACACAGACTCAAGTTAAAAAATAACCAGAAAATCTAGTTCAAACACTTCACAAAGTCAAGTTCAAAAACACCACAAACTCAAGTTCAACCAACACCTAAGTCACAAGTTTAACAATTGCCACAAACTTCAGTTCAAAAAACACAAAAGCTTAAGATCAAAAACACCACAAACTCAAGTTCAAACACGATTCACAAACTCAGGTTCAACCAAATCCCAAATCTCAAGTTTAACAATTTCCACAACCTCAAGTTCAAAACCAACAGAAACTCAAGTTCAAACACGCCACAAACTCAAGTTCAAAAACACCACAAACTCAAGTTCAACCAACACCCAAATCTAAAGTTTAACAATTGCCGAAGCCTCAAGTAAGAAAAACAACAAAAATTCAGGTTAAAACACGCCACAAACTCAAGCTCAAGACCGCCACAAACTCAAGTTAAAAAGCACCACAAACCAAAGTTCAAACACGACACAAACTCAAGTTCAAGCAAATCCCAAATCTCAAGTTTGACAATTGCCACAACCTCAAGTTCAAAAACAACAGAAACTCAAGTCAAAACACGCCACAAACTCAAGTTAAACAAACACACAAACTCAAGTCAAAACATGCCACAAACTCAAGTTAAACAAACACACAAACTCAAGTTCAAAAACACCACAAACTCAAGTTCAACCAAAACCCAAATCTCAAGTTTAACAATTGCCACAAACTTAAATTCAAAAAACACACAAAAATTCAAACTAAAGTTCAGAGAAAAATACAGACTCAAGTTCAACAATTGACACAAACTCAAGTTCAACAAACACCACAATCTTAAGTTCAAAAAATGCCAAAATTTCAAATTCAACAAATGACCTAAACTCACATTTAACAATTGCCAAAAACTCAAGTTCAACAAACTCAAGTTCAAAAATTGCAACAACCTCAAGTTCAAAAAACACACAAATTCAAGTTCAAAAACACCACAAACTCAAGTTAAATGAACACCACAAAGTCAAGTTCAAAAACACCACAAACTCAAGTTAAATGAACACCACAAAGTCAAGTTCAACAAATGTCAAAGTTTTAAGTTCAACCAACACCCAAATCTAAAGATTAACAATTGCCAAAACCTCAAGTTAAAAAACAACACAAACTCAAGTTCAAACACGCGACAAACTCAAGTTTAACAATTGCCACCAAATAAAGTTCACTAAAAACCAAAGACTCAAGTTCAAAACTCAAGTTCAAAAATTGCAACAAACTCAAGTTCAAACACAACACTCAAGTTCAAACATGACACAAACTCAAGTTCAAACACGATACAAACTCAAGTTCAAACACGACACAAACTCAAGTTCAAACACGGCACAAACTCAAGTTCAAACAACACCCAAATATCAAGTTTAACATTTGCCAAAACCTCAAGTTCAAAAACACCACAAACTCAAGTTCTAAACGACAAAAACTCAAGTTCAACAAACACACGAACTCAAGTTCAACAATTGCCACCAACTAATGTTCAGAGAAAAATACAGACTCAATGTTAACAATTGCCACAAACTCAAGTTCAACAAACACCACAAGCTTAAGTTCAAAAAATGCCAAAATTTCAAATTCAACAAATAACCTATATTAACATTAAAGAATTGCCAAAAACTCAAGTTCAACAAACTCAGGTTCAAAAAACACACAAATTCAAGTTCAAAAACACCACAAACTCAAGTTCAAAACTGCCGAAACTTAATTTCAACCGACACCCAAATCTCAAGTTTAACAAATTGCCACAACCTCATGTTCAAAAACAACAGAAACTCAAATTCAAAAACACCAAAAACTCAAGTTAAAAAAACCCCACACAAATTCAAGATCACAAAACAGCAAAATCTCAAGTTCAAACACGACACAAACTCAGGTTCAACAAACACACAAACTCAAGTTTAACAATTGCCACCAAATAAAGTTCACTAAAAACCAAAGACTCAAGTTAAAAACTCAAGTTCAAAAATTGCAACAAACTCAAGTTCAAACACAACACTCAAGTTCAAACATGACACAAACTCAAGTTCAAACACGACACAAACTCAAGTTCAAACACGACACAAACTCAAGTTCAAACAACACCCAAATATCAAGTTTAACATTTGCCAAAACCTCAAGTTCAAAAACACCACAAACTCAAGTTCTAAACGACAAAAACTCAAGTTCAACAAACACACGAACTCAAGTTCAACAATTGCCACCAACTAATGTTCAGAGAAAAATACAGACTCAATGTTAACAATTGCCACAAACTCAAGTTCAACAAACACCACAAGCTTAAGTTCAAAAAATGCCAAAATTTCAAATTCAACAAATAACCTATATTAACATTAAAGAATTGCCAAAAACTCAAGTTCAACAAACTCAAGTTCAAAAATTGCAACAACCTCAAGTTCAAAAAACACACAAATTCAAGTTCAAAAATACCACAAACACAAGTTCAAAAAAACACAAAAATTCAAGTTCAAAAACACCACAAACTCAAGTTAAATGAACACCACAAAGTCAAGTTCAACAAATGTCAAAGTTTTAAGTTCAACCAACACCCAAATCTAAAGATTAACAATTGCCAAAACCTCAAGTTAAAAAACAACACAAACTCAAGTTCAAACACGCGACAAACTCAAGTTTAACAATTGCCACCAAATAAAGTTCACTAAAAACCAAAGACTCAAGTTCAAAACTCAAGTTCAAAAATTGCAACAAACTCAAGTTCAAACACAACACTCAAGTTCAAACATGACACAAACTCAAGTTCAAACACGACACAAACTCAAGTTCAAACACGACACAAACTCAAGTTCAAACACGGCACAAACTCAAGTTCAAACAACACCCAAATATCAAGTTTAACATTTGCCAAAACCTCAAGTTCAAAAACACCACAAACTCAAGTTCTAAACGACAAAAACTCAAGTTCAACAAACACACGAACTCAAGTTCAACAATTGCCACCAACTAATGTTCAGAGAAAAATACAGACTCAATGTTAACAATTGCCACAAACTCAAGTTCAACAAACACCACAAGCTTAAGTTCAAAAAATGCCAAAATTTCAAATTCAACAAATAACCTATATTAACATTAAAGAATTGCCAAAAACTCAAGTTCAACAAACTCAGGTTCAAAAAACACACAAATTCAAGTTCAAAAACACCACAAACTCAAGTTCAAAAATGCCGAAACTTAATTTCAACCGACACCCAAATCTCAAGTTTAACAAATTGCCACAACCTCATGTTCAAAAACAACAGAAACTCAAATTCAAAAACACCAAAAACTCAAGTTAAAAAAAACCCACACAAATTCAAGATCACAAAACAGCAAAATCTCAAGTTCAAACACGACACAAACTCAGGTTCAACAAACACACAAACTCAAGTTTAACAATTGCCACCAAATAAAGTTCACTAAAAACCAGACTCAAGTTAAAAACTCAAGTTCAAAAATTGCAACAAACTCAAGTTCAAACACAACACTCAAGTTCAAACATGACACAAACTCAAGTTCAAACACGACACAAACTCAAGTTCAAACACGACAAAAACTCAAGTTCAAACACGACACAAACTCAAGTTCAAACAACACCCAAATCTCAAGTTTAACAAATTGCCACAACCTCATGTTCAAAAACAACAGAAACTCAAATTCAAAAACACCAAAAACTCAAGTTAAAAAAAAAACACAGAAATTCAAGATCACAAAACAGCAAAATCTCAAGTTCAAACACGACACAAACTCAGGTTCAACAAACACACAAACTCAAGTTTAACCAATACCCAATTCTCACGTTTAACAATTTCCACAACCTCAAGTCCAAACACGACACAAACTCAAGTTCAAACACGACACAAACTCAAGTTCAAACACGACACAAACTCAAGTTCAAACAACACCCAAATATCAAGTTTAACATCTGCCAAAACCTCAAGTTCAAAAACACCACAAACTCAAGTTCAAAACGACAAAAACTTAAGTTCAACAAACGCCAAAAACTCAAGTTCAAAAACACCACAAACTCAAGTTCTAAATGACAAAAACTCCAGTTCAACAAACACCACGAACTCAAGTTCAACCAATGCCCACTTCGCAAGTTTAACAATTTCCACAACCTCAAGTTAGAAAAACACACAGACTCAAGTTAAAAAATAACCAGAAAATCTAGTTCAAACACTTCACAAAGTCAAGTTCAAAAACACCACAAACTCAAGTTCAACCAACACCTAAGTCACAAGTTTAACAATTGCCACAAACTTCAGTTCAAAAAACACAAAAGCTTAAGATCAAAAACACCACAAACTCAAGTTCAAACACGATTCACAAACTCAGGTTCAACCAAATCCCAAATCTCAAGTTTAACAATTTCCACAACCTCAAGTTCAAAACCAACAGAAACTCAAGTTCAAACACGCCACAAACTCAAGTACAACAAACACCACAAACTCAAGTTCAACAATTGCCACCAAGTAAAGTTCAGAGAAAAATACAGACTCAAGGTTAACAATTGCCACAAACTCAAGTTCATCAAACACCACAAGCTTAAGTTAAAAAAATGACAAAATTTCAAATTCAACAAATGACCTATATTCACATTAAACAATTGCCAAAAACTCAAGTTCAACAAACTCAAGTTAAAAAAGTGCCACAAAATGAAGTTCTAAAACACCACAAACTCAAATTCAAACACGATACAAACTCAAGTTCAACAAACACCACAAACTCAAGTTCAACAAATGTCACAGTTTCAAGTTCAACCAACACCCGATTCTCAGGTTTAACAATTTCCACAACCTCAAGTTCAAAAAACAACACAAACTCAAGTTCAAACACGCCACAAACTCAAGTTCAACAAACGCCACAAACTCAACTTCAAAAACACCACACAAACTGAAGTTCTAAAACGACACAAACTCAAGTTCAACAAACACAACAAGTCAAGTTCAAGCAACACCCAATTCTCAAGTTTAACAATTTCCACAACCTCAAGTTCAAAAAACACACAAACTCAAGTTCAAAAACACCAGAACCTCAAGTTCAAAAAACATAATAAACTCAAGTTCAAATATTCCACAAACTCAAGTTCAATGAACACCACAAACTCAAGTTCAACCACACCCGATTCTCAAGTTTAACAATTGCCACAACCTCAAGTTAAAAAAAACACAAACTCAAGTTCAAACACTTCACAAACTCAAGTTCAACAAACGCCACAAACTCAAGTTCAACAAACGCCACAAACTCAAGTTCAACAATTGCCACCAACTAAAGTTCACTAAAAACCAAAGACTCAAGTTCAACAATTGCCAAAAAATCAAGCGAAACAAACTCAAGTTCATAAGTTGTCACAAACTTCAAACACGACACAAACTCAAGTTCAAAAACACCACAAACTCAAGTTCAAAAAGACACAAACTCAAGTTCAACAAACAAAACTAACTATTTAGAGTAATTTTGAGGTGTTTGAGAGGTTTTTTGTAGACTAACCCTAGTGGTCCTATGTTGTTGTTGTTGATGTGAGGCGTTTCTTTTCCAGTAGTCTAAAATCTGTTGGAGGGGGGAAAAGGTTCCAGCTGTCCAGCCACGGCGGCAGCGGTGTGTCTGAAGTCCGGGGTCCTCGGCGGGGGAAAGAAGATAGGCGCTCCGCGGCAAGGTTTGCTGGGACTCGGTGCCGTCGGCGGGTCGAAGCTCAGTGGTGGGCGGCTTGGAGTGATGGAGGTGCGGCGTCTTCTTTCAGGTGGCGGCGCGGTGTCTTCGTCGAGGCGGTGGTCGGTCTTCTTGGTCCAGTGGTCAGTGCTTTGTCTCAATTACAGCAACAGGAATTGCTCTTTAGCACTTAAATGTGCTTTTGACAGGAGAAGACATCCCCAGAGTTGGGCTCGAGTCATGGTTTGTGCTGTTCCTCTCAGACATGGTTGTGTTCTCTTCTCGATGTTTGTATTCCAGAATGGATGTCTCTTGGTTGTATTTTAAACTTTCAAGTAGTTTTAAGTTAATTTTAATGTAGTTTATTTGTTTTAAATTTAGTTTTGCTAAATCAAATTTGTATGAAATCGTAAGGGATTGTGGGTATTTTAGTTCTGAGGGATGAGAGCCTAAGGAATCAATCTCCCTGTTGCAGCAAAGGATTGTGGGTAAAACCGTGAGTGAGGGAGGTACATTTTTCCTGGCATGAGAACCTCAGGAGTCAGTCCTTCCTAAGAAAAAAGAGGGGAGGGGGGAAGACAAACAAAAGCACAGGAACCCTAAAATGAAATAAATTAAAATAAAATAAAATAATATAAAACAATGAAAAAATAAAAAATAAAAAATAAAAGAAGAACAAAAGTGGATTGCAAAAGGGAAAGGAGAAGAAAAAAGGAAAAAAAGAAGTGTCAAAAGCAAATAGCAAAAAACTGAAGTGAGCTTAAAAACAGAGAACAGTTCCCTAAAAGACAGACAGAAATGTAAATTTGATCAATGTCCTAAGGGAAAATCTGCACGTGTATGTGTGTTCTTTTTTACTAGCTTAGTCTGGTGTCACTGATGGTCAGTTATTGATAAGTATTTATTATTTAAATTTTTGATGAAGTTGTTTGTAGTGGGGTTAGCTGGCTAATTTTAGAGTGTTAAAAAAGATGTTAGAGGGGGAGGATTTAGGGGGCACAGCGGTTCCCCTTCAGGTCTCTCTTAATCCTCCATATAGGTGACCCAACAGGGGTTACCCCCCGGCCGGGGTAGGCCGAGGCTGAAGATCACCTATTTGTCATCTGTGAAGGTGAAAATAAAGGGGCAGGGGAGGGAATAAGAAAGAGGGGGGGTGTTAGAGAGAGGGGGAGAGATGAGGGAGAGAGATGAGGGAGAGAGAGAGAGAGGGGGGGGGGGTGAGAGAGAGAGAGAGAGAGAGAGAGGTGTTCGGGCTTCCTGAAGGTAATACCCTTCAGGTTTAAGTATTAGGTTATGGGGCTAGGATTAGGTTTAAGGTTTTTGGCGTAAGGGTTAAAATCACTGTCCAATATTTTCTAAGGAACATGTTTCAGACCTTTTGGAGCTAGTTTGACCAAAAAAAAAAAGATAAATGAAAAAAAAATATTTGGGGTGTTCGGGCTTCCTGAAGGTAATACCCGGATATTAGGTTATGGGGCTAGGGTAAGGTTTAAGGTTTTTGGCGTAAGGGTTAAAATCACTGTCCAAAACCTTTTTAGGAACATGTTTCAGACCTTTTGGAGTTGGTTACACCAAAAAAAATGTAAAATGAAAAAAATTTTTTTTTGGGTGTTCGGGCTTCCTGAAGGTAATACTAGGTTTCTGGGCTAGGGTAATGTTTAAGGTTTTTGGCGTAAGGGTTAAAATCAATGTCCAAAACCTTTGTAGGAACTCTTTTCCAACCTTTGAGAGCAAGTTAGACAAAAAAAAAAAAAGATAAATGAAAAAAAAAATATTTGGGGTGTTCGGGTTTCCTGAAGCCCCCGTATTAGGTTATGGGGCTAGGGTAAGGTTTAAGGTTTTTGGCGTTAGAGTTAAAATCAGTGTCCAAAACCTTTTTAGGAACATGTTTAAGACCTTTTGGAGTTGGTTACAACAAAAAAAATGTAAATGAAAAAAAAAAAATATTTGGGGTGTTCGGGCTTCCTGAAGGTAATACCCTTCAGGTTTAAGTATTAGGTTATGGGGCTAGGATTAGGTTTAAGGTTTTTGGCGTAAGGGTTAAAATCACTGTCCAATATTTTTTAAGGAACATGTTTCAGACCTTTTGGAGCTAGTTTGACCAAAAAAAAAAAGAAAAAGAAAAAATATATATTTGGGGTGTTCGGGCTTCCTGAAGGTAATACCCGGGTATTAGGTTATGGGGCTAGGTTAAGGTTTAAGGTTTTTGGCGTGAGGGTTAAAATCACTGTCCAAAACCTTTGTAGGAAGTCTTTTCCAACCTTTTGGAGTTAGTTAGACAAAAAAAAAAAGATAAATGAAAAAAAAAATATTTGGGGTGTTCGGGCTTCCTGAAGGTAATACCCTTCAGGTTTAAGTATTAGGTTATGGGGCTAGCATTAGGTTTAAGGTTTTTGGCGTAAGGGTTAAAATCACTGTCCAATATTTTTTAAGGAACATGTTTCAGACTTTTTGGAGCTAGTTTGACCAAAAAGAAAAAGAAAAAGAAAAAATATATATTTGGGGTGTTCGGGCTTCCTGAAGGTAATACCCGGGTATTAGGTTTTGGGGCTAGGTTAAGGTTTAAGGTTTTTGGCGTGAGGGTTAAAATCACTGTCCAAAACCTTTGTAAAAACATGTTTCAGACCTTTTGGAGTTGGTTACACCAAAAAAAATGTAAAATGAAAAAAAATTTTTTTTGGGTGTTCGGGCTTCCTGAAGGTAATACTTTGTATTACCTTTGTACGAAGTGTTTTCCAACCTTTTGGAGTTAGTCTTTTGTAGGAAGTCTTATCCAACCTTTTGGAGTTAGTTTAGACAAAAAAAAAAAGATAAATGAAAAAAAAATATTTGGGGTGTTCGGGCTTCCTGAAGGTAATACCCGGGTATTAGGTTTTGGGGCTAGGGTTAGGTTTAAGGTTTTTGGCGTTAGGGTTAAAATCACTGTCCAATATTTTTTAAGGAACATGTTTCAGACATTTGGGAGTTAGTTAGACCAAAAAAAAGAAAAAAAAGAGAAAAAAAAATATTTGTGGTGTTCGGGCTTCCTGAAGGTAATACCCGGGTATTAGGTTATGGGGCTAGGGTAAGGTTTAAGGTTTTTGGCGTTAGAGTTAAAATCAGTGTCCAAAGCCTTTTTAGGAACATGTTTAAGACCTGTTGGAGTTGGTTACACCAAAAAAAAATGTAAAATGAAAAAAAAAATATTTGGGGTGTTCGGGCTTCCTGAAGGTAATACCCGGGTATTAGGTTTTTGGGCTAGGGTAAGGTTTAAGGTTTTTGGTGTTAGGGTTAAAATCCCTGTCCAAAACCTTTGTAGGAACTCTTTTCCGACCTTTTGGAGTTAGTTAGACCAAAAAAAAAGAAAAAAGAAAAAAAATATATTTGGGGTCTTCGGGCTTCCTGAAGGTAATAAGGTTTAAGGTTTTTGGCGTTAGGGTTAAAATCACTGTCCAAAACCTTTTAAGGAACAAGATTCAGACCTTTTGGAGTTGGTTACACCAAAAAAAATGTAAAATGAAAAAAAAAATATTTGGGGTGTTCGGGCTTCCTGAAGGTAATACCCTTCAGGTTTAAGTATGTGGTTATGGGGCTAGGGTAAGGTTTAAGGTTTTTGGCGTTAGGGTTAAAATCACTGTCCAAAACCTTTTTAGGAACATGTTTCAGAACTTTCGGAGTTGGTAAAACCAAAAAAAAATGTAAAATGAAAAAAAAATATTTGGGGTGTTCAAGCTTCCTGAAGGTAATACCCGGGTATTAGGTTTTGGGGCTAGGGTATGGTTTAAGGTTTTTGGCGTTAGGGTTAAAATCACTGTCCAAAACTTTTTAAGGAACAAGATTCAGACCTTTTGAAGTTGGTTACACCAAAAAAAATGTAAAATGAAAAAAAAAATATTTAGGGTGTTCGGGCTTCCTGAAGGTAATACCCTTCAGGTTTTAGTATTAGGTTATGGGGCTAGGATTAGGTTTAAGGTTTTTGGCGTAAGGGTTAAAATCACTGTCCAATATTTTTTAAGGAACATGTTTCAGACCTTTTGGAGCTAGTTTGACCAAAAAAAAAAGAAAAAGAAAAAATATATATTTGGGGTGTTCGGGCTTCCTGAAGGTAATACCCGGGTATTAGGTTATGGGGCTAGGTTAAAGTTTAAGGTTTTTGGCGTGAGGGTTAAAATCACTGTCCAAAACCTTTGTAGGAAGTCTTTTCCAACCTTTTGGAGTTAGTTAGACAAAAAAAAAAGATAAATGAAAAAAAAATATTTGGGGTGTTCGGGCTTCCTGAAGGTAATACCCGGGTATTAGATTTTAAGGCCAGGGAAAGGTTTAAGTTTTTTGGCGTCAGGGTTAAAATCACTGTCCAAAACCTTTGTAGGAACTCTTTTCCAACCTTTTGGAGTTAGTTAGACCAAAAAATATGAAAAAAGAAAAAAATATTATTGGGGGTTTTCGGGCTCCCTGAAAGTAATACCCGGGTATTAGGTTTTGGGGCTATGGTAAGGTTTAAGTTTTTTGGCGTTTGGGTTAAAATCACTGTCCAAAACCTTTGTAGGAACTCTTTTCCAACCTTTTGGAGTTAGTTAGACCAAAAAAAAATGAAAAATGAAAAAACAATATTTGGGGTTTTTGGGGTTCCTGAATGTAATACCCGGGTATTAGATTTTAAGGCTAGGGTAAGGTTTAATTTTGTTTGGCATTAGGGTTAAAATCACTGTCCAAAACCTTTGTAGGAACTCTTTTCCAACCTTTTGGAGTTGGTTACACCAACAAAAATGTAAAATGAAGAAAAAAATATTTGGGGTGTTCAGGCTTCCTGAAGGTAATACCAGGGTATTAGATTTTAAGGCTAGGGTAAGGTTTAAGGTTTTTGGCGTTAGGGTTAAAATCACTGTCCAAAACCTTTGTAGGAACTCTTTTCCAACCTTTTGGAGTTAGTTAGACCAAAAAATATGAAAAAAGAAAAAAATATTATTGGGGGTTTTCGGGCTCCCTGAAAGTAATACCCGGGTATTAGGTTTTGGGGCTATGGTAAGGTTTAAGTTTTTTGGCGTTAGGGTTAAAATCACTGTCCAAAACCTTTGTAGGAACTCTTTTCCAACCTTTTGGAGTTAGTTAGACCAAAAAAAAATGAAAAATGAAAAAACAATATTTGGGGTTTTTGGGGTTCCTGAATGTAATACCCGGGTATTAGATTTTAAGGCTAGGGTAAGGTTTAAGTTTTTTGGCATTAGGGTTAAAATCACTGTCCAAAACCTTTGTAGGAACTCTTTTCCAACCTTTTGGAGTTGGTTACACCAACAAAAATGTAAAATGAAGAAAAAAATATTTGGGGTGTTCAGGCTTCCTGAAGGTAATACCAGGGTATTAGATTTTAAGGCTAGGGTAAGGTTTAAGGTTTTTGGCGTTAGGGTTAAAATCACTGTCCAAAACCTTTGTAGGAACTCTTTTCCAACCTTTTGGAGTTAGTTAAACCAAAAAAAAAAAAAGAAAAATGAAAAAATATATATTTGGGGTTTTCGGGCTTCCTGAATGTAATACCCGGGTATTAGATTTTAAGGCTAGGGTAAGGTTTAAGTTTTTTGGCGTTAGGGTTAAAATCACTGTCCAAAACCTTTGTAGGAACTCTTTTCCAACCTTTTGGAGTTGGTTACACCAACAAAAATGAAAAATGAAAAAAAAATATTTGGGGTGTTCGGGCTTCCTGAAGGTAATACCCGGGAATTAGGTTATGGGGCTATGGTAAGTTTTAAGGTTTTTGGCGTTAGGGTTAAAATCACTGTCCAAAACCTTTGTAGGAACTCTTTTCCAACCTTTTGGAGTTGGTTACACCAACAAAAATGTAAAATAAAGAAAAAAATATTTTGGGTGTTCGGGCTTCCTGAAGGTAATACCCGGGTATTAGATTTTAAGGCTAGGGTAAGGTTTAAGGTTTTTGGCGTTAGGGTTAAAATCACTGTCCAAAACCTTTGTAGGAACTCTTTTCCAACCTTTTGGAGTTAGTTAGACCAAAAAATATGAAAAAAGAAAAAAGTATTTGTGGGGGTTTTCGGGCTCCCTGAAAGTAATACCCAGGTATTAGGTTTTGGGACTAGGGAAAGGTTTAACGTTTCTGCCATTAGGGATAAAATCACTGTCCAAAACCTTTGTAGGAACTCTTTTCAAACCTTTTGGAGTTAGTTAGACCAAAAAAAAAAAGAAAAATGAAAAAAAAATATTTGGGGTGTTCAGGCTCCCTAAAAGTAATACCCGGGTATTAGGTTATGGGGCTATGGTAAGGTTTAAGGTTTTTGGCGTTAGGGTTAAAATCACTGTCCAAAACCTTTGTAGGAACTCTTTTCCAACCTTTTGGAGTTGGTTACACCAAAAAAAAAAAGAAAAATGAAAAAAAAATATTTGGGGTGTTCAGGCTTCCTGAAGGTAATACCCGGGTATTAGATTTCAAGGCTAGGGTAAGGTTTAAGGTTTTTGGCGTAAGGGTTAAAATCACTGTCCAAAACCTTTGTAGGAACTCTTTTCCAACCTTTTGGAGTTAGTTAGACCAAAAAAAAAAAAAAAAAAAAAAAAAAAATATTTGGGGTGTTCAGGCTTCCTAAAAGTAATACCCGGGTATTAGGTTATGGGGCTAAGGTAAGGTTTAAGGTTTTTGGCGTTAGGGTTAAAATCACTGTCCAAAACCTTTGTAGGAAATCTTTTCCAACCTTTTGGAGTTAGTTAGACCAAAAAAAAATGAAAAATGAAAAAACAATATTTGGGGTTTTCGGGGTTCCTGAATGTAATACCCGGGTATTAGATTTTAAAGCTAGGGAAAGGTTTAAGTTTTTTGGCATTAGGGTTAAAATCACTGTCCAAAACCTTTGTAGGAACTCTTTTCCAACCTTTTGGAGTTGGTTACACCAACAAAAATGTAAAATGAAGAAAAAAATATTTGGCGTGTTCAGGCTTCCTGAAGGTAATACCCGGGTATTAGATTTTAAGGCTAGGGTAAGGTTTTAGGTTTTTGGCGTTAGGGTTAAAATCACTGTCCAAAACCTTTGTAGGAACTCTTTTCCAACCTTTTGGAGTTAGTTAGACCAAAAAAAAAAGAAAAATGAAAAAAATATTATTGGGGGTTTTCGGGGTTCCTGAATGTAATACCCGGGTATTAGATTTTAAGGCTAGGGTAAGGTTTAAGGTTTTTGGCGTTAGGGTTAAAATCACTGTCCAAAACCTTTGCAGGAACTCTTTTTCAACCTTTTGGAGTTAGTTAGACCAAAAAAAAATGAAAAATGAAAAAAAAAAATATTTGGGGTTTACGGGCTTCCTGAATGTAATACCCGGGTATTAGATTTTAAGGCCAGGGTAAGGTTTAAGTTTTTCTGGCGTTAGGGTTAAAATCACCGTCCAAAACCTTTGTAGGAACTCTTTTCCAAACTTTTGGAGTTAGTTAGACCAAAAAAAAAAGAAAAATGAAAAAAAAATATATGGGGTGTTCAGGCTTCCTAAAAGTAATACCTGGGTATTAGGTTATGGGGCTATGGTAAGGTTTAAGGTTTTTGGCGTTAGGGTTAAAATCACTGTCCAAAACCTTTGTAGGAACTCTTTTCCAACCTTTTGGAGTTGGTTACACCAAAAAAAATGTAAAATGAAAAAAAAAAATATTTGGGGTGTTCGGGCTTCCTGAAAGTAATACCCAGGTATTAGATTTTAAGGCCAGGGTAAGGTTTAAGTTTTTTGGCGTTAGGGTTAAAATCACTGTCCAAAACCTTTGTAGGAACACTTTTCCAACCTTTTGGAGTTGGTTAGACCAAAAAAAAAAGAAAAATGAAAAAAAAATATTTGGGGTGTTCAGGCTTCCTAAAAGTAATACCCAGGTATTAGGTTATGGGGCTATGGTAAGGTTTAAGTTTTTTGGCGTTAGGGTTAAAATCACTGTCCAAAACCTTTGTAGGAACTCTTTTCCAACCTTTTGGAGTTAGTTAGACCAAAAAAAAATGAAAAATTAAAAAACAATATTTGGGGTTTTCGGGGTTCCTGAATGTAATACCCGGGTATTAGATTTTGAGGCTAGGGTAAGGTTTAAGTTTTTTGGCATTAGGGTTAAAATCACTGTCCAAAACCTTTGTAGGAACTCTTTTCCAACCTTTTGGAGTTGGTTACACCAACAAAAATGTAAAATGAAGAAAAAAATATTTGGGGTGTTCAGGCTTCCTGAAGGTAATACCAGGGTATTAGATTTTAAGGCTAGGGTAAGGTTTAAGGTTTTTGGCGTTAGGGTTAAAATCACTGTCCAAAACCTTTGTAGGAACTCTTTTCCAACCTTTTGGAGTTAGTTAAACCAAAAAAAAAAAGAAAAATGAAAAAATATATATTTGGGGTTTTCGGGCTTCCTGAATGTAATACCCGGGTATTAGATTTTAAGGCTAGGGTAAGGTTTAAGTTTTTTGGCGTTAGGGTTAAAATCACTGTCCAAAACCTTTGTAGGAACTCTTTTCCAACCTTTTGGAGTTAGTTAGACCAAAAAAAGAATGAAAAATAAAATAAAAAATTTTGGGGGTTTCCCGGCTTCCTGAATGTAATACCCGGGTATTAGATTTTAAGGCCAGGGTAAGGTTTAAGTTTTTTGGCATTAGGGTTAAAATCACTGTCCAAAACCTTTGTAGGAACTCTTTTCCAACCTTTTGGAGTTAGTTAGACCAAAAAAAAAGAAAAATGAAAAAAAATTATTGGGGTGTTCAGGCTTCCTAAAAGTAATACCTGGGTATTAGGTTATGGGGCTAGGGTAAGGTTTAAGGTTTTTGGCGTTAGGGTCAAAATCACTGTCCAAAACCTTTGTAGGAACTCTTTTCCAACCTTTTGGAGTTAGTTCGACCAAAAAAAAATGAAAAATGAAAAAAAAATATTTGGGGTGTTCAGGCTTCCTAAAAGTAATACCCGGGTATTAGGTTATGGGGCTATGGTAAGGTTTAACGTTTTGGCGTTAGGTTTAAAATCACTGTCCAAAACCTTTGTAGGAACTCTTTTCCAACCTTTTGGAGTCAGTTCGACCAAAAAAAAATGAAAAATGAAAAAAAAATATTTTGGGTGTTCGGGCTTCCTGAAGGTAATACCCGGGTATTAGATTTTAAGGCTAGGGTAAGGTTTAAGGTTTTTGGCGTTAGGGTTAAAATCACTGTCCAAAACCTTTGTAGGAACTCTTTTCCAACCTTTTGGAGTTAGTTAGACCAAAAAAAAAGAAAAATGAAAAAAAAATATTTGGGGTGTTCAGGCTTCCTAAAAGTAATACCCGGGTATTAGGTTATGGGGCTATGGTAAGGTTTAACGTTTTGGCGTTAGGTTTAAAATCACTGTCCAAAACCTTTGTAGGAACTCTTTTCCAACCTTTTGGAGTTAGTTTGACCAAAAAAAAAGAAAAATGAAAAAAAAATATTTGGGGTGTTCAGGCTTCCTAAAAGTAATACCCGGGTATTAGGTTATGGGGCTATGGTAAGGTTTAACGTTTTGGCGTTAGGTTTAAAATCACTGTCCAAAACCTTTGTAGGAACTCTTTTCCAACCTTTTGGAGTTAGTTAGACCAAAAAAAAAAGAAAAATGAAAAAAAAAATATTTGGGGTGTTCGGGCTTCCTGAAGGTAATACCCGGGAATTAGGTTATGGGGCTATGGTAAGTTTTAAGGTTTTTGGCGTTAGGGTTAAAATCACTGTCCAAAACCTTTGTAGGAACTCTTTTCCAACCTTTTGGAGTTGGTTACACCAACAAAAATGTAAAATAAAGAAAAAAATATTTTGGGTGTTCGGGCTTCCTGAAGGTAATACCCGGGTATTAGATTTTAAGGCTAGGGTAAGGTTTAAGGTTTTTGGCGTTAGGGTTAAAATCACTGTCCAAAACCTTTGTAGGAACTCTTTTCCAACCTTTTGGAGTTAGTTAGACCAAAAAAAAAAGAAAAATGAAAAAAAAATATTTGGGGTGTTCAGGCTTCCTTAATGTAATACCCTTAATGTAATAATTAGATTTTAATGCCAGGGTAAGGTTTAAGTTTTTCGGCGTTAGGGTTAAAATCACTGTCCAAAACCTTTGTAGGAACTCTTTTCCAACCTTTTGGAGTTAGTTAGACCAAAAAAAAAAGAAAAATGAAAAAAAAAATATTTGGGGTTTTCGGGCTTCCTGAATGTAATACCCGGGTATTAGATTTTAAGGCTAGGGTAAGGTTTAAGTTTTTTGGCGTTAGGGTTAAAATCACTGTCCAAAACCTTTGTAGGAACTCTTTTCCAACCTTTTGGAGTTGGTTACACCAACAAAAATGTAAAATGAAAAAAAAATATTTGGGGTGTTCGGGCTTCCTGAAGGTAATACCCGGGAATTAGGTTATGGGGCTATGGTAAGTTTTAAGGTTTTTGGCGTTAGGGTTAAAATCACTGTCCAAAACCTTTGTAGGAACTCTTTTCCAACCTTTTGGAGTTGGTTACACCAACAAAAATGTAAAATAAAGAAAAAAATATTTTGGGTGTTCGGGCTTCCTGAAGGTAATACCCGGGTATTAGATTTTAAGGCTAGGGTAAGGTTTAAGGTTTTTGGCGTTAGGGTTAAAATCACTGTCCAAAACCTTTGTAGGAACTCTTTTCCAACCTTTTGGAGTTAGTTAGACCAAAAAAAAAAGAAAAATGAAAAAAAAAATTATTGGGGGTTTTCGGGCTCCCTGAAAGTAATACCCGGGTATTAGGTTTTGGGACTAGGGAAAGGTTTAAGGTTTTTGGCGATAGGGTTAAAATCACTGTCCAAAACCTTTGTAGGAACTCTTTTCCAACCTTTTGGAGTTAGTTAGACCAAAAAAAAAAAGAAAAATGAAAAAAAAATATTTGGGGTGTTCAGGCTTCCTAAAGGTAATACCCGGGTATTAGGTTATGGGGCTATGGTAAGGTTTAAGGTTTTTGGCGTTAGGGTTAAAATCACTGTCCAAAACCTTTGTAGGAACTCTTTTCCAACCTTTTGGAGTTGGTTACACCAACAAAAATGTAAAATAAAGAAAAAAATATTTTGGGTGTTCGGGCTTCCTGAAGGTAATACCCGGGTATTAGGTTTTGGGACTAGGGAAAGGTTTAAGGTTTTTGGCGATAGGGTTAAAATCACTGTCCAAAACCTTTGTAGGAACTCTTTTCCAACCTTTTGGAGTTAGTTAGACCAAAAAAAAAGAAAAAGAAAAAAAAAATATTTGGGGTGTTCAGGCTTCCTAAAAGTAATACCCGGGTATTAGGTTATGGGGCTATGGTAAGGTTTAAGGTTTTTGGCGTTAGGGTTAAAATCACTGTCCAAAACCTTTGTAGGAACTCTTTTTCAACCTTTTGGAGTTGGTTACACCAACAAAAATGTAAAATAAAGAAAAAAATATTTTGGGTGTTCGGGCTTCCTGAAGGTAATACCTGGGTATTAGATTTTAAGGCTAGGGTAAGGTTTAAGGTTTTTGGCGTTAGGGTTAAAATCACTGTCCAAAACCTTTGTAGGAACTCTTTTCCAACCTTTTGGAGTTAGTTAGACCAAAAAAAATGAAAAAAGAAAAAAAAAAATATTTGGGGTTTTCGGGCTTCCTGGAAGTAATACCCCAGTATTAAGTTTTGGGGCTAGAAAAAGGTTTAAGGTTTTTGGCGTTAGGGTTAAAAACACTGTCCAAAACCTTTGTAGGAACTCTTTTCCAACCTTTTGGAGTTAGTTAGACAAAAAAAAAAGAATAATGAAAAAAAAATATTTGGGGTGATCAGGCTTCCTTATTGTAATACCCGGGTATTAGATTTTAATGCCAGGGTTAGGTTTAAGTTTTTTGGCGTTAGGGTTAAAATCACTGTCCAAAACCTTTGTAGGAACTCTTTTCCAACCTTTTGGAGTTAGTTAGACCAAAAAAAAAAAGAAAAATGAAAAAAAAATATTTGGGGTGTTCAGGCTTCCTGAAGGTAGCCCGAAGGTAGATTTTAAGGCTAGGGTAAGGTTTAAGGTTTTTGGCGTCAGGGTTAAAATCACTGTCCAAAACCTCTGTAGGAACTCTTATCCAACCTTTTGGAGTTGGTTACACCAACAAAAATGTAAAATGAAGAAAAAAATATTTGGGGTGTTCAGGCTTCCTGAAGGTAATACCCGGGTATTAGATTTCAAGGCTAGGGTAAGGTTTAAGGTTTTTGGCGTAAGGGTTAAAATCACTGTCCAAAACCTTTGTAGGAACTCTTTTCCAACCTTTTGGAGTTAGTTAGACCAAAAAATATGAAAAAAAAAAAAATATTTTGGGGGTTTTCGGGCTCCTGAAAGTAATACCCAGGTATTAGGTTTTGGGACTAGGGAGAGGTTTAAGGTTTTTGCCATTAGGGTTAAAATCACTGTCCAAAACCTTTGTAGGAACTCTTTTCCAACCTTTTGGAGTTAGTTAGACCAAAAAAAAAAAAAGAAAAATGAAAAAAAAATATTTGGGGTGTTCAGGCTCCCTAAAAGTAATACCCGGGTATTAGGTTATGGGGCTATGGTAAGGTTTAAGGTTTTTGGCGTTAGGGTTAAAATCACTGTCCAAAACCTTTGTAGGAACTCTTTTCCAACCTTTTGGAGTTGGTTACACCAACAAAAATGTAAAATGAAGAAAAAAATATTTGGGGTGTTCAGGCTTCCTGAAGGTAGCCCGAAGGTAGATTTCAAGGCTAGGGTAAGGTTTAAGGTTTTTGGCGTAAGGGTTAAAATCACTGTCCAAAACCTTTGTAGGAACTCTTTTCCAACCTGTTGGAGTTAGTTAGACCAAAAAATATGAAAAAAGAAAAAAAGTATTTGTGGGGGTTTTCGGGCTCCCTGAAAGTAATACCCAGGTATTAGGTTTTGGGACTAGGGAGAGGTTTAAGGTTTTTGGCATTAGGGTTAAAATCACTGTCCAAAACCTTTGTAGGAACTCTTTTCCAACCTTTTGGAGTTAGTTAGACCAAAAAAAAAAAGAAAAATGAAAAAAAAATATTTGGGGTGTTCAGGCTTCCTAAAAGTAATACCCGGGTATTAGGTTATGGGGCTAAGGTAAGGTTTAAGGTTTTTGGCGTTAGGGTTAAAATCACTGTCCAAAACCTTTGTAGGAAATCTTTTCCAACCTTTTGGAGTTAGTTAGACCAAAAAAAAATGAAAAATGAAAAAACAATATTTGGGGTTTTCGGGGTTCCTGAATGTAATACCCGGGTATTAGATTTTAAAGCTAGGGAAAGGTTTAAGTTTTTTGGCATTAGGGTTAAAATCACTGTCCAAAACCTTTGTAGGAACTCTTTTCCAACCTTTTGGAGTTGGTTACACCAACAAAAAGTGTAAAATGAAGAAAAAAATATTTGGCGTGTTCAGGCTTCCTGAATGTAATACCCGGGTATTAGATTTTAAGGCTAGGGTAAGGTTTAAGGTTTTTGGCGTTAGGGTTAAAATCACTGTCCAAAACCTTTGCAGGAACTCTTTTTCAACCTTTTGGAGTTAGTTAGACCAAAAAAAATGAAAAATGAAAAAAAAAATATTTGGGGTTTACGGGCTTCCTGAATGTAATACCCGGGTATTAGATTTTAAGGCCAGGGTAAGGTTTAAGTTTTTCTGGCGTTAGGGTTAAAATCAAAGTCCAAAACCTTTGTAGGAACTCTATTCCAACCTTTTGGAGTTGGTTACACCAAAAAAAAAAAAGAAAAATGGAAAAAAAATATTTGGGGTGTTCAGGCTTCCTAAAAGTAATACCCGGGTATTAGGTTATGGGGCTAGGGTAAGGTTTAAGGTTTTTGGCGTTAGGGTTGAAATCACTGTCCAAAACCTTTGTAGGAACTCTTTTCCAACCTTTTGGAGTTGGTTACACCAAAAAAAATGTAAAATGAAAAAAAAAAATATTTGGGGTGTTCGGGCTTCCTGAAAGTAATACCCAGGTATTAGATTTTAAGGCCAGGGTAAGGTTTAAGGTTTTTGGCGTTAGGGTTAAAATCACTGTCCAAAACCTTTGTAGGAACTCTTTTCCAACCTTTTGGAGTTAGTTAGACCAAAAAAAATGAAAAATGAAAAAAAAATATTTGGGGTTTCCGGGCTTCCTTAATGTAATACCCGGGTATTAGATTTTAAGGCCAGGGTAAGGTTTAAGGTTTTTGGCGTTAGGGTTAAAATCACTGTCCAAAACCTTTGTAGGAACTCTTTTCCAACCTTTTGGAGTTGGTTACACCAAAAAAAATGTAAAATGAAAAAAATATATATTTGGGGTGTTCGGGCTTCCTGAAAGTAATACCCAGGTATTAGATTTTAAGGCCAGGGTAAGGTTTAAGTTTTTTGGCGTTAGGGTTAAAATCACTGTCCAAAACCTTTGTAGGAACACTTTTCCAACCTTTTTGAGTTGGTTAGACCAAAAAAAAAGAAAAATGAAAAAAAAATATTTGGGGTGTTCAGGCTTCCTAAAAGTAATACCCGGGTATTAGGTTATGGGGCTATGGTAAGGTTTAAGGTTTTTGGCGTTAGGGTTAAAATCACTGTCCAAAACCTTTGTAGGAACTCTTTTCCAACCTTTTGGAGTTAGTTAGACCAAAAAAAAATGAAAAATTAAAAAACAATATTTGGGGTTTTCGGGGTTCCTGAATGTAATACCCGGGTATTAGATTTTGAGGCTAGGGTAAGGTTTAAGTTTTTTGGCATTAGGGTTAAAATCACTGTCCAAAACCTTTGTAGGAACTCTTTTCCAACCTTTTGGAGTTGGTTACACCAACAAAAATGTAAAATGAAGAAAAAAATATTTGGGGTGTTCAGGCTTCCTGAAGGTAATACCCGGGTATTAGGTTTTGGGACTAGGGAAAGGTTTAAGGTTTTTGGCGTTAGGGTTAAAATCACTGTCCAAAACCTTTGTAGGAACTCTTTTCCAACCTTTTGGAGTTAGTTAGACCAAAAAATAAAAAAAGAAAAATGAAAAAAAGAATATTTGGGGTGTTCAGGCTTCCTAAAAGTAATACCCGGGTATTAGGTTATGGGGCTAGGGTAAGGTTTAAGGTTTTTGGCGTTAGGGTTGAAATCACTGTCCAAAACCTTTGTAGGAACTCTTTTTTCAACCTTTTGGAGTTAGTTAGACCAAAAAAAAATGAAAAATGAAAAAAAAAATATTTGGGGTTTTCGGGCTTCCTGAATGTAATACCCGGGTATTAGATTTTAAGGCCAGGGTAAGGTTTAAGTTTTTTGGCGTTAGGGTTAAAATCACTGTCCAAAACCTTTGTAGGAACTCTTTTTCAACCTTTTGGAGTTGGTTACACCAACAAAAATGTAAAATAAAGAAAAAAATATTTTGGGTGTTCGGGCTTCCTGAAGGTAATACCCGGGTATTAGATTTTAAGGCTAGGGTAAGGTTTAAGGTTTTTGGCGTTAGGGTTAAAATCACTGTCCAAAACCTTTGTAGGAACTCTTTTCCAACCTTTTGGAGTTAGTTAGACCAAAAAAAATGAAAAAAGAAAAAAAAATTATTGGGGGTTTTCGGGCTCCCTGAAAGTAATACCCGGGTATTAGGTTTTGGGACTAGGGAAAGGTTTAAGGTTTTTGGCGTTAGGGTTAAAATCACTGTCCAAAACCTTTGTAGGAACTCTTTTCCAACCTTTTGGAGTTAGTTAGACAAAAAAAAAAGAATAATGAAAAAAAAATATTTGGGGTGATCAGGCTTCCTTATTGTAATACCCGGGTATTAGATTTTAATGCCAGGGTTAGGTTTAAGTTTTTTGGCGTTAGGGTTAAAATCACTGTCCAAAACCTTTGTAGGAACTCTTTTCCAACCTTTTGGAGTTAGTTAGACCAAAAAAAAAAAGAAAAATGAAAAAAAAATATTTGGGGTGTTCAGGCTTCCTGAAGGTAGCCCGAAGGTAGATTTTAAGGCTAGGGTAAGGTTTAAGGTTTTTGGCGTCAGGGTTAAAATCACTGTCCAAAACCTCTGTAGGAACTCTTATCCAACCTTTTGGAGTTGGTTACACCAACAAAAATGTAAAATGAAGAAAAAAATATTTGGGGTGTTCAGGCTTCCTGAAGGTAATACCCGGGTATTAGATTTCAAGGCTAGGGTAAGGTTTAAGGTTTTTGGCGTAAGGGTTAAAATCACTGTCCAAAACCTTTGTAGGAACTCTTTTCCAACCTTTTGGAGTTAGTTAGACCAAAAAATATGAAAAAAGAAAAAAAGTATTTGTGGGGGTTTTCGGGCTCCCTGAAAGTAATACCCAGGTATTAGGTTTTGGGACTAGGGAGAGGTTTAAGGTTTTTGCCATTAGGGTTAAAATCACTGTCCAAAACCTTTGTAGGAACTCTTTTCCAACCTTTTGGAGTTAGTTAGACCAAAAAAAAAAAAAGAAAAATGAAAAAAAAATATTTGGGGTGTTCAGGCTCCCTAAAAGTAATACCCGGGTATTAGGTTATGGGGCTATGGTAAGGTTTAAGGTTTTTGGCGTTAGGGTTAAAATCACTGTCCAAAACCTTTGTAGGAACTCTTTTCCAACCTTTTGGAGTTGGTTACACCAACAAAAATGTAAAATGAAGAAAAAAATATTTGGGGTGTTCAGGCTTCCTGAAGGTAGCCCGAAGGTAGATTTCAAGGCTAGGGTAAGGTTTAAGGTTTTTGGCGTAAGGGTTAAAATCACTGTCCAAAACCTTTGTAGGAACTCTTTTCCAACTTGTTGGAGTTAGTTAGACCAAAAAATATGAAAAAAGAAAAAAAGTATTTGTTGGGGTTTTCGGGCTCCCTGAAAGTAATACCCAGGTATTAGGTTTTGGGACTAGGGAGAGGTTTAAGGTTTTTGGCATTAGGGTTAAAATCACTGTCCAAAACCTTTGTAGGAACTCTTTTCCAACCTTTTGGAGTTAGTTAGACCAAAAAAAAAAAGAAAAATGAAAAAAAAATATTTGGGGTGTTCAGGCTTCCTAAAAGTAATACCCGGGTATTAGGTTATGGGGCTAAGGTAAGGTTTAAGGTTTTTGGCGTTAGGGTTAAAATCACTGTCCAAAACCTTTGTAGGAAATCTTTTCCAACCTTTTGGAGTTAGTTAGACCAAAAAAAAATGAAAAATGAAAAAACAATATTTGGGGTTTTCGGGGTTCCTGAATGTAATACCCGGGTATTAGATTTTAAGGCTAGGGAAAGGTTTAAGTTTTTTGGCATTAGGGTTAAAATCACTGTCCAAAACCTTTGTAGGAACTCTTTTCCAACCTTTTGGAGTTGGTTACACCAACAAAAAGTGTAAAATAAAGAAAAAAATATTTTGGGTGTTCGGGCTTCCTGAAGGTAATACCCGGGTATTAGATTTTAAGGCTAGGGTAAGGTTTAAGGTTTTTGGCGTTAGGGTTAAAATCACTGTCCAAAACCTTTGTAGGAACTCTTTTCCAACCTTTTGGAGTTAGTTAGACCAAAAAAAATGAAAAAAGAAAAAAAAAAATATTGGGGGTTTTCGGGCTCCCTGAAAGTAATACCCGGGTATTAGGTTTTGGGACTAGGGAAAGGTTTAAGGTTTTTGGCGTTAGGGTTAAAATCACTGTCCAAAACCTTTGTAGGAACTCTTTTCCAACCTTTTGGAGTTAGTTAGACAAAAAAAAGAATTTATAATGAAAAAAAAATATTTGGGGTGATCAGGCTTCCTTATTGTAATACCCGGGTATTAGATTTTAATGCCAGGGTTAGGTTTAAGTTTTTTGGCGTTAGGGTTAAAATCACTGTCCAAAACCTTTGTAGGAACTCTTTTCCAACCTTTTGGAGTTAGTTAGACCAAAAAAAAAAAAAAATGAAAAAAAAATATTTGGGGTGTTCAGGCTTCCTGAAGTAATACCCGGGTATTAGTTAAGGGCTAGGGTAAGGTTTAAGGTTTTTGGCGTCAGGGTTAAAATCACTGTCCAAAACCTCTGTAGGAACTCTTATCCAACCTTTTGGAGTTGGTTACACCAACAAAAATGTAAAATGAAGAAAAAAATATTTGGGGTGTTCAGGCTTCCTGAAGGTAATACCCGGGTATTAGATTTCAAGGCTAGGGTAAGGTTTAAGGTTTTTGGCGTAAGGGTTAAAATCACTGTCCAAAACCTTTGTAGGAACTCTTTTCCAACCTTTTGGAGTTAGTTAGACCAAAAAATATGAAAAAAGAAAAAAAGTATTTGTGGGGGTTTTCGGGCTCCCTGAAAGTAATACCCAGGTATTAGGTTTTGGGACTAGGGAGAGGTTTAAGGTTTTTGGCATTAGGGTTAAAATCACTGTCCAAAACCTTTGTAGGAACTCTTTTCCAACCTTTTGGAGTTAGTTAGACCAAAAAAAAAAAGAAAAATGAAAAAAAAATATTTGGGGTGTTCAGGCTTCCTAAAAGTAATACCCGGGTATTAGGTTATGGGGCTATGGTAAGGTTTAAGGTTTTTGGCGTTAGGGTTAAAATCACTGTCCAAAACCTTTGTAGGAACTCTTTTCCAACCTTTTGGAGTTGGTTACACCAACAAAAATGTAAAATGAAGAAAAAAATATTTGGGGTGTTCAGGCTTCCTGAAGGTAGCCCGAAGGTAGATTTCAAGGCTAGGGTAAGGTTTAAGGTTTTTGGCGTAAGGGTTAAAATCACTGTCCAAAACCTTTGTAGGAACTCTTTTCCAACCTGTTGGAGTTAGTTAGACCAAAAAATATGAAAAAAGAAAAAAAGTATTTGTGGGGGTTTTCGGGCTCCCTGAAAGTAATACCCAGGTATTAGGTTTTGGGACTAGGGAGAGGTTTAAGGTTTTTGGCATTAGGGTTAAAATCACTGTCCAAAACCTTTGTAGGAACTCTTTTCCAACCTTTTGGAGTTAGTTAGACCAAAAAAAAAAGAAAAATGAAAAAAAAATATTTGGGGTGTTCAGGCTTCCTAAAAGTAATACCCGGGTATTAGGTTATGGGGCTAGGTAAGGTTTAAGGTTTTTGGCGTTAGGGTTAAAATCACTGTCCAAAACCTTTGTAGGAACTCTTTTCCAACCTTTTGGAGTTAGTTAGACCAAAAAAAAATGAAAAATGAAAAAACAATATTTGGGGTTTTCGGGTTCCTGAATGTAATACCCGGGTATTAGATTTTAAAGCTAGGGAAAGGTTTAAGTTTTTTGGCATTAGGGTTAAAATCACTGTCCAAAACCTTTGTAGGAACTCTTTTCCAACCTTTTGGAGTTGGTTACACCAACAAAAAGTGTAAAATGAAGAAAAAAATATTTGGCGTGTTCAGGCTTCCTGAATGTAATACCCGGGTATTAGATTTTAAGGCTAGGGTAAGGTTTAAGGTTTTTGGCGTTAGGGTTAAAATCACTGTCCAAAACCTTTGCAGGAACTCTTTTTCAACCTTTTGGAGTTAGTTAGACCAAAAAAAAATGAAAAATGAAAAAAAAAATATTTGGGGTTTACGGGCTTCCTGAATGTAATACCCGGGTATTAGATTTTAAGGCCAGGGTAAGGTTTAAGTTTTTCTGGCGTTAGGGTTAAAATCAAAGTCCAAAACCTTTGTAGGAACTCTATTCCAAACTTTTGGAGTTGGTTACACCAAAAAAAAAAAAGAAAAATGGAATAAAAATATTTGGGGTGTTCAGGCTTCCTAAAAGTAATACCCGGGTATTAAGTTATGGGGCTAGGGTAAGGTTTAAGGTTTTTGGCGTTAGGGTTGAAATCACTGTCCAAAACCTTTGTAGGAACTCTTTTCCAACCTTTTGGAGTTGGTTACACCAAAAAAAATGTAAAATGAAAAAAAAAAATATTTGGGGTGTTCGGGCTTCCTGAAAGTAATACCCAGGTATTAGATTTTAAGGCCAGGGTAAGGTTTAAGGTTTTTGGCGTTAGGGTTAAAATCACTGTCCAAAACCTTTGTAGGAACTCTTTTCCAACCTTTTGGAGTTAGTTCGACCAAAAAAAAATGAAAAATGAAAAAAAAATATTTGGGGTTTCCGGGCTTCCTTAATGTAATACCCGGGTATTAGATTTTAAGGCCAGGGTAAGGTTTAAGGTTTTTGGCGTTAGGGTTAAAATCACTGTCCAAAACCTTTGTAGGAACTCTTTTCCAACCTTTTGGAGTTGGTTACACCAAAAAAAATGTAAAATGAAAAAAATATATATTTGGGGTGTTCGGGCTTCCTGAAAGTAATACCCAGGAATTAGATTTTAAGGCCAGGGTAAGGTTTAAGTTTTTTGGCGTTAGGGTTAAAATCACTGTCCAAAACCTTTGTAGGAACACTTTTCCAACCTTTTGGAGTTGGTTAGACCAAAAAAAAAAGAAAAATGAAAAAAAAATATTTGGGGTGTTCAGGCTTGCTAAAAGTAATACCCAGGTTATAGGTTATGGGGCTATGGTAAGGTTTAAGGTTTTTGGCGTTAGGGTTAAAATCACTGTCCAAAACCTTTGTAGGAACTCTTTTCCAACCTTTTGGAGTTAGTTAGACCAAAAAAAAATGAAAAATTAAAAAACAATATTTGGGGTTTTCGGGGTTCCTTAATGTAATACCCGGGTATTAGATTTTGAGGCTAGGGTAAGGTTTAAGTTTTTTGGCATTAGGGTTAAAATCACTGTCCAAAACCTTTGTAGGAACTCTTTTCCAACCTTTTGGAGTTGGTTACACCAACAAAAATGTAAAATGAAGAAAAAAATATTTGGGGTGTTCAGGCTTCCTTAAGGTAATACCCGGGTATTAGGTTTTGGGACTAGGGAAAGGTTTAAGGTTTTTGGCGTTAGGGTTAAAATCACTGTCCAAAACCTTTGTAGGAACTCTTTTCCAACCTTTTGGAGTTAGTTAGACCAAAAAATAAAAAAAGAAAAATGAAAAAAAGAATATTTGGGGTGTTCAGGCTTCCTAAAAGTAATACCCGGGTATTAGGTTATGGGGCTAGGGTAAGGTTTAAGGTTTTTGGCGTTAGGGTTGAAATCACTGTCCAAAACCTTTGTAGGAACTCTTTTTTCAACCTTTTGGAGTTAGTTAGACCAAAAAAAAATGAAAAATGAAAAAAAAATATTTGGGGTTTTCGGGCTTCCTGAATGTAATACCCGGGTATTAGATTTTAAGGCCAGGGTAAGGTTTAAGTTTTTTGGCGTTAGGGTTAAAATCACTGTCCAAAACCTTTGTAGGAACTCTTTTCCAACCTTTTGGAGTTAGTTAGACCAAAAAAAAAAGAAAAATGAAAAAAAAAATATTTGGGGTGTTCAGGCTTCCTAAAAGTAATAGCTGGGTATTAGGTTATGGGGCTATGGTAAGGTTTAAGGTTTTTGGCGTTAGGGTTAAAATCACTGTCCAAAACCTTTGTAGGAACTCTTTTCCAACCTTTTGGAGTTGGTTAGACCAAAAAAAAAGAAAAATGAAAAAAAAAATATTTGGGGTGTTCAGGCTTCCTAAAAGTAATACCCAGGTATTAGGTTATGGGGCTATGGTAAGGTTTAAGGTTTTTGGTGTTAGGGTTAAAATCACTGTCCAAAACCTTTGTAGGAACTCTTTTCCAACCTTTTGGAGTTAGTTAGACCAAAAAAAAAATGAAAAATGAAAAAACAATATTTGGGGTTTTCGGGGTTCCTGAATGTAATACCCGGGTATTAGATTTTGAGGCTAGGGTAAGGTTTAAGTTTTTTGGCATTAGGGTTAAAATCACTGTCCAAAACCTTTGTAGGAACTCTTTTCCAACCTTTTGGAGTTGGTTACACCAACAAAAATGTAAAATGAAGAAAAAAATATTTGGGGTGTTCAGGCTTCCTGAAGGTAATACCCGGGTATTAGATTTCAAGGCTAGGGTAAGGTGTAAGGTTTTTGGCGTTAGGGTTAAAATCACTGTCCAAAACCTTTGTAGGAACTCTTTTCCAACCTTTTGGAGTTAGTTAGACCAAAAAAAAAAAAAAAGAAAAATGAAAAAAAGAATATTTGGGGTGTTCAGGCTTCCTAAAAGTAATACCCGGGTATTAGGTTATGGGGCTATGGTAAGGTTTAACGTTTTGGCGTTAGGTTTAAAATCACTGTCCAAAACCTTTGTAGGAACTCTTTTCCAACCTTTTGGAGTTGGTTACACCAACAAAAATGTAAAATGAAGAAAAAAATATTTGGGGTGTTCAGGCTTCCTGAAGGTAGCCCGAAGGTAGATTTCAAGGCTAGGGTAAGGTTTAAGGTTTTTGGCGTAAGGGTTAAAATCACTGTCCAAAACCTTTGTAGGAACTCTTTTCCAACCTGTTGGAGTTAGTTAGACCAAAAAATATGAAAAAAGAAAAAAATATTTGTGGGGGTTTTCGGGCTCCCTGAAAGTAATACCCAGGTATTAGGTTTTGGGACTAGGGAGAGGTTTAAGGTTTTTGGCATTAGGGTTAAAATCACTGTCCAAAACCTTTGTAGGAACTCTTTTCCAACCTTTTGGAGTTAGTTAGACCAAAAAAAAAAAGAAAAATGAAAAAAAAATATTTGGGGTGTTCAGGCTTCCTAAAAGTAATACCCGGGTATTAGGTTATGGGGCTAAGGTAAGGTTTAAGGTTTTTGGCGTTAGGGTTAAAATCACTGTCCAAAACCTTTGTAGGAAATCTTTTCCAACCTTTTGGAGTTAGTTAGACCAAAAAAAAATGAAAAATGAAAAAAAAATATTTGGGGTTTTCGGGCTCCCTGAAAGTAATACCCAGGTATTAGGTTTTGGGACTAGGGAGAGGTTTAAGGTTTTTGGCATTAGGGTTAAAATCACTGTCCAAAACCTTTGTAGGAACTCTTTTCCAACCTTTTGGAGTTAGTTAGACCAAAAAAAAAAGAAAAATGAAAAAACAATATTTGGGGTTTTCGGGGTTCCTGAATGTAATACCCGGGTATTAGATTTTAAGGCTAGGGTAAGGTTTAAGGTTTTTGGCGTTAGGGTTAAAATCACTGTCCAAAACCTTTGCAGGAACTCTTTTTCAACCTTTTGGAGTTAGTTAGACCAAAAAAAAATGAAAAATGAAAAAAAAAAATATTTGGGGTTTACGGGCTTCCTGAATGTAATACCCGGGTATTAGATTTTAAGGCCAGGGTAAGGTTTAAGTTTTTCTGGCGTTAGGGTTAAAATCACTGTCCAAAACCTTTGTAGGAACTCTATTCCAAACTTTTGGAGTTGGTTACACCAAAAAAAAAAAAGAAAAATGGAAAAAAAATATTTGGGGTGTTCAGGCTTCCTAAAAGTAATACCCGGGTATTAGGTTATGGGGCTAGGGTAAGGTTTAAGGTTTTTGGCGTTAGGGTTGAAATCACTGTCCAAAACCTTTGTAGGAACTCTTTTCCAACCTTTTGGAGTTGGTTACACCAAAAAAAATGTAAAATGAAAAAAAAAAATATTTGGGGTGTTCGGGCTTCCTGAAAGTAATACCCAGGTATTAGATTTTAAGGCCAGGGTAAGGTTTAAGGTTTTTGGCGTTAGGGTTAAAATCACTGTCCAAAACCTTTGTAGGAACTCTTTTCCAACCTTTTGGAGTTGGTTACACCAAAAAAAATGTAAAATGAAAAAAATATATATTTGGGGTGTTCGGGCTTCCTGAAAGTAATACCCAGGTATTAGATTTTAAGGCCAGGGTAAGGTTTAAGTTTTTTGGCGTTAGGGTTAAAATCACTGTCCAAAACCTTTGTAGGAACACTTTTCCAACCTTTTGGAGTTGGTTAGACCAAAAAAAAAAGAAAAATGAAAAAAAAATATTTGGGGTGTTCAGGCTTCCTAAAAGTAATACCCAGGTATTAGGTTATGGGGCTATGGTAAGGTTTAAGGTTTTTGGCGTTAGGGTTAAAATCACTGTCCAAAACCTTTGTAGGAACTCTTTTCCAACCTTTTGGAGTTGGTTAGACCAAAAAAAAAGAAAAATGAAAAAAAAAATATTTGGGGTGTTCAGGCTTCCTAAAAGTAATACCCAGGTATTAGGTTATGGGGCTATGGTAAGGTTTAAGGTTTTTGGTGTTAGGGTTAAAATCACTGTCCAAAACCTTTGTAGGAACTCTTTTCCAACCTTTTGGAGTTAGTTAGACCAAAAAAAAATGAAAAATGAAAAAACAATATTTGGGGTTTTCGGGGTTCCTGAATGTAATACCCGGGTATTAGATTTTGAGGCTAGGGTACGGTTTAAGTTTTTTGGCATTAGGGTTAAAATCACTGTCCGAAACCTTTGTAGGAACTCTTTTCCAACCTTTTGGAGTTGGTTACACCAACAAAAATGTAAAATGAAGAAAAAAATATTTGGGGTGTTCAGGCTTCCTGAAGGTAATACCCGGGTATTAGATTTCAAGGCTAGGGTAAGGTGTAAGGTTTTTGGCGTTAGGGTTAAAATCACTGTCCAAAACCTTTGTAGGAACTCTTTTCCAACCTTTTGGAGTTAGTTAGACCAAAAAAAAAAAAAAAAGAAAAATGAAAAAAAGAATATTTGGGGTGTTCAGGCTTCCTAAAAGTAATACCCGGGTATTAGGTTATGGGGCTATGGTAAGGTTTAACGTTTTGGCGTTTGGTTTAAAATCACTGTCCAAAACCTTTGTAGGAACTCTTTAACAACTTTTTGGATTTAGTTAGACCAAAAAAAAATGAAAAATGAAAAAAAATATATTTGGGGTGTTCAGGCTTCCTAAAAGTAATACCCAGGTATTAGGTTTTGGGGCTATGGTAAGGTTTAAGTTTTTTGGCGTTAGGGTTAAAATCACTGTCCAAAACCTTTGTAGGAACTCTTTTCCAACCTTTTGGAGTTGGTTACACCAACAAAAATGTAAAATTAAAAAAGATATATATGGGGTGTTCGGGCTTCCTGAAGGGAATACCCGGGTATTAGGTTATGGGGCTATGGTAAGGTTTAAGTTTTTTGGCGTTAGGGTTAAAATCACTGTCCAAAACCTTTGTAGGAACACTTTTCCAACCTTTTGGAGTTGGTTAGACCAAAAAAAAAGAAAAATGAAAAAAAAAATATTTGGGGTGTTCAGGCTTCCTAAAAGTAATAGCTGGGTATTAGGTTATGGGGCTATGGTAAGGTTTAAGGTTTTTGGCGTTAGGGTTAAAATCACTGTCCAAAACCTTTGTAGGAACTCTTTTTCAACCTTTTGGAGTTAGTTAGACCAAAAAAAAAAAGAAAAATGAAAAAAAAAATATTTGGGGTTCACAGGCTTCCTGAATGTAATACCCGGGTATTAGATTTTAAGGCCAGGGAAAGGTTTAAGTTTTTTGGCGTTAGGGTTAAAATCACTGTCCAAAACCTTTGTAGGAACTCTTTTCCAACCTTTTGGAGTTAGTTAGACCAAAAAATATGAAAAAAGAAAAAAATATTATTGGGGGTTTTCGGGCTCCCTGAAAGTAATACCGGGGTATTAGGTTTTGGGGCTATGGTAAGGTTTAAGTTTTTTGGCGTTTGGGTTAAAATCACTGTCCAAAACCTTTGTAGGAACTCTTTTCCAACCTTTTGGAGTTAGTTAGACCAAAAAAAAATGAAAAATGAAAAAACAATATTTGGGGTTTTTGGGGTTCCTGAATGTAATACCCGGGTATTAGATTTTAAGGCTAGGGTAAGGTTTAATTTTGTTTGGCATTAGGGTTAAAATCACTGTCCAAAACCTTTGTAGGAACTCTTTTCCAACCTTTTGGAGTTGGTTACACCAACAAAAATGTAAAATGAAGAAAAAAATATTTGGGGTGTTCAGGCTTCCTGAAGGTAATACCAGGGTATTAGATTTCAAGGCTAGGGTAAGGTTTAAGGTTTTTGGCGTTAGGGTTAAAATCACTGTCCAAAACCTTTGTAGGAACTCTTTTCCAACCTTTTGGAGTTAGTTAGACCAAAAAGTATGAAAAAAGAAAAAATATTATTGGGGGTTTTCGGGCTCCCTGAAAGTAATACCCGGGTATTAGGTTTTGGGGCTTTGGTAAGGTTTAAGTTTTTTGGCGTTAGGGTTAAAATCACTGTCCAAAACCTTTGTAGGAACTCTTTTCC